TCACTCTTACTACGCCAACTGTCGTCCCTCCGTCCACGCCTCCCACACCGACACCTTATACTCACCGACCTTCGGAACCACCACTGCTCTCCTCCTACCTTGCCCTACTGCCTCAACGTCTATTGCTGTGGCGTTTGCTACGCACTTCAAAATGACACACAAGTCTGACACATCAAAAACACCAACACCATAAACGACGACACCAGAGATGGGGACCTGGTATACACCTGTCCTCACTGCGGCCTCACCTTCACCCCACACATCGGTCACTTAGAATCCATCGCACAGTAACTGGCGAACCAGTGTCTGGAACACCAATCTATACTCGCCGTATCCGCGTCCACTGCCCTCACACATTTGTGCACCGCATGGGCCTATTTGGCTGCATGCGCATCCATGGACACCCGCAGTAGACAACCGCCAGCTGTGCCGCACCATCATATCCTCCCTCGACAGCATCTCATCGCCAAATAACATCACCCACCACAAGCGCCCAAATGCCACCTCCTGCGCAAGTGGGAAATGTGCGCCTTGACTCCGTGTCCATGCGGCTCCCCAATTGCATGATTTGCTCGAGTCTGAGGCTATCAAGGCACACCAACTGCCGTGGCTTGGAACGCTGCTGACTAACTCTCCAACTCGGTCCACGCAGACCAACCAGTTATGTGTGCGTGTATATGGGGTGGCAAACTTGTGGACTGAGAGCCAAATTGAAACAGCACCTGCTAAACGTCGCCTACGGCACTCTCACGCTCTTAAATCTGTCCTGCCACCGGGCCCAGGTGGGGAGGAGAGGGTGCGGTGGATGCCCGCAAGTCCATGATCACTATAAACTAACTCACGCGCAAGTGATCGTGCCTGCCTTAAGCTCGCTATGGAGCACACTGTCGACATCGTCGGATGCAATGTTCGAACTGTCGTTAATGAATACTTGAATCAAGCACGACATGCTAATAGGAACTGTCGAAAATCTGCCATCCGACGTCATAACTAACAGCAAATTAAAGTATTTTTGAAGGAGTGAATCAATGTAAATCATGTTCACTGACCTCTACCAAATGTGACCTAAGTGAAATTCCCGCGTATACGAGACCCCAGTCAACGAAGTGTGAATACAGTCACGACTTGCACGCGTAAAGTGGCCGTTTAACTTATTCTATCTCTGTTGTGGGGCCACGTCCGATAGCTTGCGGCTGGATTAAAGCGGGCGGGGATGAGACAGTGCGGTTGTTCCTCCGCGGGTTTTCTTCAACATAAACTGACTCACGCATATGACACACTTCTGGGAATATGCCATTACGCAAAAGTCGACGCCGTCGGTTTCATTACCTTTTGCTGTCATGCCATTAGGAGTAATTTTAAAAAGATATAAAGACTGATTTCAGTGCGTTTAATTTTTACGTTAATAATTGCAATTTATGTACACGTTTGTCGTAGTCCAAACGCAACCGGGCTGGCGCGCCATGCCTACGTGTATACGACATATTTCTTTTTCTTTTTAAGAGCATGTTGTAAAGGCCGACTAGAAAGTCTATTACAAAACTGCTGACGCTGTGTGATAAGCGTTGACCAGGCCATCACAGGACGAGTTCATAGCATTGATTTCAAATACACTTTTCGTGTAATTACTACAGATCGTTGCCTTTGACCTTTCCTCAAGGTCATATATCAAAAAAATCGTCCGCCTTTTTAACGTTATTTTTTAAAAGTTCGACAAACCTAATATACGCGCACATACAACGTTGGAATATTCAAACAAATCATCATGCAAGCAAGTAGTTTCAAACAGCACGTAAACGAACCCTATTACGTTCCCAATTTTACTTTATGTTATTTACTTAAATAGGATTTATGCGCTTTTAAGAAGCTAAACATTTATTAGCCTACAAAACTCCTATTTGTTTGACCAACATCACATTCATCGGAATTGCCATCTTTGCCTATTTCTTGTCTCAACCTCCTTTAACCAAATAAATCCGCCATTTATTGTCAGTATACTTACAGTATGGAAAGTTACCGCTTTTGCTCGGAGTCACTCTCATCACCGCGCACAAGACATGAGTGCGTTCTTCGCTTTTCCGTTGCCAGAAGTACCATCCTGGCATTTGCCATGGTTTACTGAAGACATAAAATGGTTTTTAATATCGTTTTCTTTCTAGCAGTGACATTCAAATAGCGCTATGAGGCCCTGTCTATCATTGTCTAACAAGTAAGGCTAGGTTCTCACGTATAATACAGTACAATTAAGACACAAATTCTATGAGGACCTGCAAGCACTCCTGACAATTGTGCTGAAGGCGGACAAGTTGATTGGCCCTGGCGACTTAAACGTACGCGTCGCACAGACCATGTTGTCTGGAGAGGAGTGCTGAATACCCATGGTCTCAACGGTTACAACGATAATGGCCTGCTTCTTCCACGAACCTGTGAAGAACACCGACTCATTCTGACGAACAAGTTCTTCTGCCTGCCGATGCGAAAAAAGGTCGACTGGATGAACCCTAGATCGCTTCAATGGCACCTGCTGGACTATATACCCTTCAGGAGGCGATACCAGCGGGACGTGCTGGTGACAAAGGCGATCGCAGGTGCTGATGGGTGGACCAACCATCGCCTCGCCATCTCGAAGATGCGGATTCGCCTACAGACTCGCAGAAAACCTCAAAGTAAGCAAACCCCTGTTAAGTTGAATATTGCCTTGTTGTTCTTTACCGTGTCCAATTCGGGAATGAGCTAACCTGACGACTAGACAACTTTCCAGCCTCTGCCGCCGCCTCTGCAGCGGACGAGAACACATTTGTGTGGGAACCGATGCTGTTAACTGCGGGAAACAGTCCAGTCGACGGCGATGGGCGTCCTTGGTCGCTCGCGCCGTCAGCACCACCACTGGTTCGACGACGACGACGACGACGACGACGACGACGACGACGACGACGACGACGACGACGATGTTGCTGCCGACTTCAGCAACCTGTTCGCCACGAAGAACCATTTGTAAAAAGCCTGCATCAACTTCTTCACCGACGAAAAAAGAGTTGCTTTTAACCGTAATCGTCGACTTATACTAAAACGGCTGCGCGGGATGCAGGACGCCACGGCGGCTTGCTAGACCGAGAACATCCAAGGATATGTGGACCATAACGAATGGAAGAAACCCTCCTCCCCGATCAAAGCTGTCTACGGCCCGCCCACCATAGGTAATGCACCTCTTCTCAGCGCTGACGGTTCTGCCCTCCTCAGTGAGAAGACGCAAATTTTATAGAGTTGAGCCGAGCATTTCCGAGGCGTCCTCAACTGCTTCTTCACCATCTCCGACACAGACATCGTCCGTCTGCAGCACGTGAAGACCAACGTCAACCTCGCCATCCCGCCCTCTCTTAGCATCTACACCATGCTGAGACTATCTGCAACCGCGTTGGAGCGGTCATCTCGTGCAGATGGGTGGCGAGCGGCTACCCAAATGGAGACGTCGCCACGGGTTCCCGCCGCCAAGGAGATTAAACCCGTCGATACAAGCATAATCTGGATTCCTCCCTGAAGCGGCTGCAAAATAACGCGGTCAGCTGGGAAGACCTCTGTCGAGACCGACCGACCTGGAAGAGGTCAATGAAGACAGGCGCTGCCCCTCCATGATTGCAACAACCGTCGACCCCCCGTCACCTCTTCCTCGTTCTATAAGCTTTCAACAAATTCTTACCACCCTCCTGAACCCCCGCTTCAGTCCTTCTCCTCATCCACCTCCTGCTTCTTCTCCTTCTCCAATGCCTCAACGTCTATCGGTGTGGCGTCTGCAAAGCACTTGAACATGACACACAAGTCTGACACATCAAAAACACCAACACCATAACCGACGACACCAGAACTGGGGACCTCGTATACACCTGTCCTCACTGCGGCCTCGCCTTCACCCCCCTCATCGGTCACTTGAGAATCCATCGCATAGAGACTGGCGAACCAGTGTCTGGAGCACCAATCTATACTCGCCGCATCTGCATCCACTGCCCACACTGCCTTCGCACATTTATGCACCGCATGGGCCTATTTGGTCGCATGCTTAGAGCCGGGTTGAAACAGCTTCTTGCACGGCACTCTCACGCATGGGAAATGTACGTCGTTCAATCCCCCGCTGTGGGAGATCCTGGTGGTTGTGTTTGGGGGGACGGTCAGGTAGTGCGTGTGGCGCGCCAAGACAATGAAAATATACTATGTTAGCCACCGCGCCCATTCCCCGCTCCAGTCAGCTGACCAGTTCGGACAGTGGATGATGCATGGAAATGTTAAGGGAGAATGGGGTCGACGACTCAGCGCACTTTCCTCACTATAAACAATATGGCGCGCTTGAAGCTACTACGGTGCGCTAAAAGCCTTGGCTTGGAATTTTGCCAACTGACGGGATAACTTGGACCTCGCAGACGGCCCAGTGTCGTGTGTTTGTGTGGAGTGGACGGCTAGTGGTCTGAGAGTCAATGCGCAATGTCTCCTTCCTAATGTGGCCTTTTTGGCACTCTCCCACTCCACGGGATCATAGCTGCGTGTGGCGACACGACTAGGTGCGGCTTTCGGCTGTACCAGCCCCCAACCCCTTTGGTGTAGCTGGTTAAAAACCTGGTTACATGCTGTGTGAACCAGGGGCTGTGGAGAGGAACGCCAAGGTGCGAGCCCGACCACGCCATCCACCTGCACCTTCCCCCGTCCCCGGTCTTTTTGACTTCCTCTTGACACCGGGTTCAGTCAGGGGAAGAGGAGTAGAGGGTGCGGTAGATGCAACGTAAGTCACCGTCCCTGGTCTCACACTGCTGTGGAGCAAACGGTGGACAACGTCGGATGCGACAATCCAAATGTCTTTATACACAAACTAAAAATTCATGAATTCCTTAATCTCTGAAAACGGTAAACTAAAGCGTAACAGATCTCCGGTGAAAAGGGATACTTTAATAGGCTATCTGCAACCAACACGATTGAATACTTGCAAAAACTCATTATGCCTGCGGCTGAAGGTGGATATTGCTTTTTGATAACGCATGAAGATAACGTCATTTATGGATTTTTGGGATAACATCACCTACAAAGTCACCTCAAGCAATCTGGACACTCAAATTTTGGTGTCTCTCTCGTGTTTTATAATACATTTACACGGAGCGCTTAGCCAAAATATCATTTTATACTAGATTTCTGTTTAGCTAAAACGCGTTCTTATTGGGAGGATTACATCGTCTAGAAAGCGATGTACCCATGCATAAGAATCAAAAGGCCCAGTTCGGTTTTGCTGGGAAAAATGAACTGACGACCATCACCATTCCGATTGTGAAATATCTGATCAACACTGCCTATCTGGAGCACATCTATATTGAACGCTTTTTGCGGCTTGCATGATGGGCCGCAGTACAAATTATAATTGCCATCGATTAAGAAATTTTACGGAGAAAGACAAATAAGTATTCTCACTTATTCCACACCACTGTCTGTGTAAAGTGTAGACCCTTGACGCCAAGACAAAACTTGAAAGGCCTGTTTAAGTCCCTCAGTGAGAATATATCGCCACGCAGCCCTGAACATCGTAATCTCGGTCCATGGAGCATAAGCATATGACGCAGCGCAAATGGCGTTGTTCGATAATTGACTGACTTGAGTTCAGACTTCAGGCCTGCATCCAAGGGCTATTGTAGACCAGATCAGCTGATTCTAGGATCCCTCTTTTTCGTAAAATCTCTCGGTGTTATTTTGATTATCATGCTACTAGCACCTGCCGCAGCTGCAAGTCCTCGTTTCGAATGTAAAAACATTACTTTTTTTTCAAGTTATCATTATAGTCTGGTGTACGCCATCCCCATGTTGTGGTCATTGGATCGGTCCGTAATAAAGGTCTTCGGGCATTAGTTGACGCACTAAATGACGATGATAATGTTCTTAGAGACGAAAATCTGTCGTTCGTGCCGCTAGGTGAAACAAGAAGCTGTCGAATACTTATGTTGACGTCCAAGCAGCTAGTGCCTCAGACGTATCCTCACCAAGCTTCCCCTTACCGAGGAGGAGCAAATCGAAAGGCTACTGAAAGGAAAGTGACGGAATGCGTGGAAGTGGAGATCACCACGAGGAAGGTGCAAAATGTCAGGTCAGTAATCGAAACACCAGTCGTCGCCAGTGACGAGACCCACCACTGCACGAGAAGGTGGTCACAGTTTTGACTTGAACGCCGATCTATTTATAGGGCATATGTACAGTCCGACCGTCGATACCGACGATGTTAATCGAGTGCTCCACAGCAGGGTGAGGGCAAGGACGGGGACTTGCGTGTGAGCTAGTTTATAGTGACAGTAGACTTGCGAAGCATCTACCGAACACTTATTCCGCACCCACCTAGGCCCACTGTTAAGGCTGAGTCAAGAAGACTAAAGGCAGGAGGGCACAGGGGGCTGGCGCGGCGGAAACGGCACATAGGCGTGTCACTGAACCCCTTTGATCCACAGCGTACACGGACCAGGATTTTATATAGCAAGAAAAAAGTGAGCGACACGGATCCCGATTGGTGCGGCCTGCGCCTGGGCTTTCCGCCACACCCCACTGCTGGCATTTGCTATGGGTGCGCATCCCCGATAACGCCTGACGGACTCCGAAATAGCTCTCCTGATGGTCCAGTGCATTTGCAACGTCGCTCGTTGTAGAGAGAAAAAATGCATTTACTGAGTAATTTACTATATCGGCAGTATGGGCCTGGGCTAAAAGCCAATACGTGCCTCTTCCTCAGATCCCGTGCTGTAGCAGGCATAACGCGGCTGAGGAGCCCAGCTCATCAGTGGGCTCCTCAACATCCCCCCCCCATGTGTTTCCAGGTATATAAACTCCAGTTTTCCAGATATGCGAACTGTCACTAAATGCCACAGTAGGAAGAGGCTTTTGAAGTTTGCCTGTGGTTCCGTGTATGCTGGTTTATCGTGGAAGGAAGCACCACTGTTTAGGTTTAACTCTCACTTCCCTGTTCCCTGCGCCAGAGGCCTGTCCGAATTTTCGGCCGGCCAGCGATGGGGTTTGGTGCAGTGGTTGGTACGATGTGTGGGTCTCCGTCTTCAGTGCATGTACGGCAACTATGAAAGAGGTCCAGAGCAAATTTGCTCAGACACAAAACTGATGTACTTGCTCTAATAAGTTTTAAATTAAAAAACTCTTACCCGATACTTTGCGTACGAAACTCGATGTTTTTTCGTTGCTTGTCAAGGTAATTCAATAGAGAAAATGGACCGCGTTCATCATGAATTGGTTACCTGGATTTCAATTCTAGTTTATCGCCGGATATACACGAGCCATTCTGTCTGTTTTGGGACAATTTTCATCATATCGCCTAATAGTCAGCCTTTCTGAATCGTTTTAGTTATGCTAAGAAAGGGGGTTTGTGATGTTAGCATATTCATCAGTCGACTCCTGATGCACTCCTTCCGTTTATAGATTACGCGTTAGGTGACAATTAAGCGGATGTAAATGTACATTTGGACACGGGAATACCGAGATGGCCTTGCCATAAATTCCTTAGGAACTAGTGTTAGGGTTAGGGCTAGGAGGGTTGTCGTTAAGTCAGGGATAATTTTTAGGGTTCGGGTTAAAGTTTTGTACATGGCAATATGGGCCCCCTGGAATGTAGAGCCAGGT